TAAAATGCTCAGGGGTAAGGATCGAGGCTGCTTATGGGGAGCCCCATTCTGTGCCCTTGCACACAATGAACTAATAGGGATAATTTGGGAGAAGGAGGTTTGCAGGGCAGTGAATCCTGGTCCAAGGCCTCTGGTTAATGGCCCTTGACGACACACCGGGTGCTCAATCGCGTAACACACTTGTCACATTTATTAAAACGACACATCTATTTGTAACCCTCTGATAAGAACCTGATTAAATTTTTTGCCTGACTTGCTGGAGATCCCAGTGTTGTCCCTTCTAATAAGTGTCTGCTGCATTTGCCATTAATTTTAATATTTGCAGTCCTATTAATTTTTTTAAACACATTTGACCAGATTGTAATGCATTCTGTGTTAGCAACAGGAGRACTGGCTGGGCTGAAACAAGTGGTAGGTTTCTTGTTTGGGTTTATTTTTCTTCCAATCTCATATTAAAAATCATTAAAAATCAGGGTTCTTAGTAGAAGTAGGTATGTTTTAAAAAGATAACATGCCTGAGGCCTGACCTTGTGYGTCTGTGCATGAATTAGGGCAGGCAAGTGTTGCAGTTGTTTTATCTTTGGCCACCAGTCATTTCCATTTAAAGCAAGCAAACAAACAAACTCCTCACTGCTTTGTGGAGCAAGAAAGAAATCCATATGCTCTCTCCTTCTGAGAGATGCTGATGATAAACCTTGAAGTTCGTCTTGCTGGTATTTCATAAGGGAATGTAATTCTTGCAAAAATCAATCTATTTGCAAAGCTTTGCACTTTGGGGCCTTGCATACATAACTATTGTAGTGTTCTTTGATTTTATTTTTTTAGTTGCTTCCTAGCTTGAAAGAATACTTCTTAGAGTGAMGGGGTTTTGAAGAGGGGATTTGGCTGAAATTCAGGCTCTTGCATTGCACTGAGCTCCTGTTCTTTGGTGCTCGGCTCCCCCTCTTTGTGAATTGAGGTCCTGCTGCTGAGCAGCCCTTTGGGAAGGTGCCAACCATCCCCTTGGCATTGTTGTTGGGATGTGGCACCTGCATCGGGTTCACACCATGGGTGRGCACCAGCCTCAACACAAACTGCCTGCTCAGCGATGTCCCCCCTGCTTAGGCATGGGCWGGTAGCCCCAAGTCGTGGAGTTCATATCTTTTTTTATCCTATTGATTGCTTTGCTCTTTACAATTTATGCATGATTTGCCTGTTATAAACATTGGCTTTCTGGCTTCTCTGCGTGCATTTTGTTTTTCAGAACTTCCTGGGAAGTATCTTGTGCTGCTCCTAAGGAATGTGCTGTTTCTGCGCTGGAGGATTGAGAGCAACAGATTGCTCTGCTGTCTTGCAGGGCAGGTTAAAATGCGAAAAGTTTCCCCAATATGAGTTAAAGCCTCTGGGGTGGGTCTTTAACAAAAGAAAACATAATTCTGCAACAGATATGGGTGGTTTTACAGGTCACTGATGGGAGGTTGGAATCTAAGCTCTGGCTCAGCCACGGTTTTGCTGTGAAGCCTGGAGTAGCTCATTCCCTTTGCTTCCAGTTTCTAGGCAGCTSTTTGCCCGTTTCCTCCATTCAGCCCATGAGAGCATTTAACCCCCTGCTCTATTGCTTCAGAGCCTCTTTCTCTATACAAAATTCCAGCCAGGATAATCATAGGAACACCTAACCCTTGAGAAACCCTTAATGGGTCCCTTCCCTTTACCTGCTTGCTCTGTTTAACCTAATTTAACCTCGCCAGCCAGGACTGTGTATTTGTGACTCTGTATTTGTACCTGCGTATCCAGCTTCAAGGTTTGTTAACCTGAGAAACTGTTACATCTGCATCCAAGTACATGAGCTTTATAAATAATGCCACAGAAATGGGGCAAGTCTCTAGCAAATCAGTGCAAGAGCCACTTCTTTTCATACCTGTTTTACCCATTCTCAGCAGCCTATGACTATGTGACATCAAATTCTTATTTCCATACTTTGTTTTCCTAATGGTCTAATTTTATTAAGCCTGTCAGAGACAGAAAAAAAAGCCTTAGCAAGCAGCAAGTGCTCTCGCAACAAGGCAAGGCTGGGAGCTCGGGAAGGGATTTGTCTCCTGATGATTTTCCTACCTGCAAGCAAAGCCGCAGCGCCTTGTGCAATACCCACATTGCGGAGCAGCATTAAAGCCCTAACATTGGAGCTTGTATTAAGTGGCGAGCCTGAGGAGTGGGTCTCGTGATGGTGTGGCCACTAGAAGGCACTGTCTGCTAGGGAATTATAAATTAATACTTACAGGAGAGCAAAGGAAGCGTTTCATATGAATAATATGCCCAGAACTGAGGATGGATGTAGCTGTAGGAAGAGGGCAGTGARCCCAGCTGTGCTTACAGATGTTTTATATTAAAAAATGTATTTTATTTTTGATGACAGTGTCAAATATAGGAACCATATGAAAGAATGCATTTAAGTTTGGAGGAAGAAGCCGTGAATTTTGAGGGCAGGGAGGTCTCCACATCCTTCCACAGTAAATTTGGGCACATTCCTTAGTGGGAGCATGGAGGCAATGAGCCTAGAGGACAGAACTTGCAGAAATGCTCCCCGTCTCCCCTGTGAGAAGTACAAGGCAAAGCATTAATTACTTCTCCTGAAGTCCATCCCAGGGCAGGGGAAGGTGCAGGCCCTGGTGCTTCCCAGGGATCTGGGAGACTTGGCTTTGGCTCAGGGAAAGGAAGGATTTGGTGGTGGCTCCTGTGCGTGTGAAGTGAGGTGCTGTGGTGTGGGTGTCTCTGGCCTAAACCAGCTTCACTTCGAGCAGGGACCAGATGGTATCAGTTAAAGAGCTAGCTGTGGATGTGCGGTCTTATTTACTGTATGTTGTCTTTAGGGTAGAGATTAAATGAAAAATCCTCTTAAGGATTCCATAATTCTGTATCACTATCAGTGGGTCTTAGCATTTCAAAAGATGGATTTGTTGTAACACTATCAGTCTGAAGTGAAAGCAGCGTTTTTACTGTAACGAGAGGAATTGAGACACCAAGAGCAGCCAGCCAGAAGTTTCATGTTTATTTTTCATGCCCAGCTTGAAATGATTTAGTGCAGAGAGCTTTTCAGTTTAGCACTGTGTACAACTTTGTGCAATTCAAACACAACTTCTGTGACCTCCAGCTTGTTTCTGGCATCCAGAGAGATACTGCTACTAAGGATGGCCAAGGAAGGTTTGCTGGAAAGCTTGCACGGAGTCACCCCTGACTGCTCRTGGAAAGAGAGTGATTCTGTTTCTTGAGGACACGTTTGGTACATGAGATGCACCCCTGCCCTTCGTGTCACCCACTGTGCAGCCTCCAGCTCCTGCAGCAAATGGAGCCGATCACCCCGGACAAGTCACCTCTCTGCTTTGGCATCCGGAGCAGGTTGATCCTTGCCAAGAGGCCGATGTGACGTGTTCCTAATGGAGRCTCCTTGTGTAAGAGCTTCTGTGCTGAATAGTTACCTGGAGACAGCTTGGAAACAAAAGCTCTTTCCTGGTTAGCAGTTGGCCTGAGCTCTGAAGAGTCAGAGTCAGGAGAAACAGGGGCTGAAGCAGGGGTTGTTAATGAAAATTTGGGGTAGAAGGGGTGGGAGGTGAGAGCAGAGAGCTTAAGCAGGAACAGGGAAGATCTTTATCTTCTCCATCCCACCATGTCTGCTGGTACAAGGAAATCAGAGTAGGGTGTATTTAATTTGTAAGTGTTTATGAATGAAAATAAAGTTTAGGATATATGTCACTGAGAAAATCACTGTTAGTTACTATAGTGACAGCAAAGGATGTCTCTGAAATTGGAAAGTGCTTYTACAGAATTCAGAAACCAAGAAAATTCAAGCTGCAGTCTCAGGGGGCAGCCTGAGATGGAATACAGCACCACAGACCTTGATTTAAATGAATATATGCAACAGCTTTACCCATGTTCTAACATGACCGAGTCCCAGTTCTCAGGAGTTTCATCCTCACACTTCCTTTTTTTTTTCTCTTCAGTCTTTTCCTAATGCAGAAACAGCCTTGCAAAAATGAGGAGGCCCCATGGGGAAAAGAAGCAAAAACCCCAATGAGTGAAAAAGCCTCACACTTCTGCCAGGTTAAGAAATGAACCAGTATACTCAGGAGAAAAAAAAAAAAAGATACTGTTTTGTAAAGTCAAAGCCACATAAAGTAACACCTCAGTTCTCCTACTTTGCTTTGTGTATAAAACTCACCACGTGCCAGCAACTCGTGTACAAAAGTGATTCTGCTTTGCCTAGTTGTGCTATTATGTAAGTATATGTAAGTTCTGTCATTGGTGCTGAGGAAGAACAAAATGTGTTTCTCATAATGTGCATCATTTTAAGAGCTACAACCAGTATTTTCCTCTCTGAAAGGTGTTTTGAATTAAATTGCCACTTTTCAAAATCAGTTAATGTCACAATTATGGGAGTAAGCTATTGCTACCAAAAAAAAAAAAAAAATGTATAGAAGCTTTCCTGTGACTCAGGGGGCCTGGCCTTTCCTTAAAGCTGACATTATTTTCAATAATTATTCTGACAGAATGAGCTTCAAGAAAGCAAGCTTATTATGCTGCATTTAGGAAAGAGCTAGAAAAGTCAAGATTGAGTAGAAAGCCAGATAAAAATTTATAGTTATATAAACCTACCAAAGAAAAACTAAGTGACCCTCTATTTTAATATACTTGGATTTGCTCCATAGTGTGATTATTTGGTAAAATACAGATTTGACAGAGCATGAAGTGTTTACCCTTTTATTATACATAATATACCCATATTTTAGACATGTTAAAGACTTTCTCTAACTTGTAGCTAAGCTACAATTCTCATGTATAGTGACAAGACAGATGCTAGATTTTGCTTTAAAACCTGTTTATGTCACCACAGGATAGTTTATTAGTTTGTTACTGACATTACAAGGGGCCCAAGGCCGGTTTTACAAGGTATATTGATACATTTTCTATTCACAAAATTGCACTACTATGAGCTTTTATTACAATTTCCTCACCATCTTGAAAAATGACCCATCTATTGCCTTTGTAACACGCTACTGCTAATGCAGTGGCATTCAGAGAGTGGTCTTAAGTGTGATCCATGGATAACTGTYAGCTGCTGCTAGCACCCTCTAACACTGCAATGATTGTCAGCATTCTTCAGACATGGGTCATTTTTCTTCACCACAGTGACATASTAAACACTCTTTTAAAACACTTCTCATTTCCAAAATACTTTAATGCATTCCATTAAACTTCAAGCCTATACATGKGGGTATGATTATAGAAGCTACCACCTTTCCAAACCAGCTATTCTCCAAAATCCCAGCTATGTATTAGCCACTGACCAGCAAGGCTCTGCAATTCTCCTACCCGCATTCTTTCTATTTTGGTTACTCAATATCCCATTGCTTAGGGAGCAAAATTGTTGCTATAAACAAAGAGCTGGTGGCTTCTACTGAAAGAGCTAGTGCAGCCACTTCCACAATCCCATTCTGTCAAATATCACTGGTTTTACAGCAGTTATTATTCAAACAGGCTGCTACTAGAAGCACTAACACTTATCAATTTCAAAAATGCTGTACAGTATTAAAAACTACCTCTCATAATGAGATGTGTCATAATTAGTAGTTCCTTTTCTTTCTASCTATAATAATTTGAATGGCAGTGTTTGCCCTACTGTGTGGAGATGTCTCTAACRTTAAATAAGTATTTCTGTTCTGTTACAGAAACACACAGGTAGTGTAAGACTAGATGTATGAGATAAGATTTAGATGGTCAGCACCTCACTTCTCCAAAAATTATTTTATTACAGTTACTACAAAACAACATATTATCCTGTACTAGTCCAGTGATGGAGGCTTAGAACTAAGAGTAATGCTAAGTGTCAGTTTTGTGCTTTGCTCCACAAAGTTACTTAGGACAAGTTAAGATTTCCATTTCATGAAGTCACTAGATTTTGAGCTATCAAAAATGAAACGTCTAGAAAAAGTATAAGAAACAGCAAAGTGACTTCACAAAAAAATCACTCAGTAGTTGAGATCTGTAAGATCTGTGTTTTAATAACACAACTTGATCCTCATAACAAGAATTCAAAAAGTGAAATTACAGTACATGAATCAAAATATGAACTAACCTATCCCTAACTATACAGCAGGAATGCAAGCTCTATAGCAATATAAAAATGCTTGTACACAACGTAGCTGCAAAAGCGGTTCTGCAATTCCAAGGGCTTGTTTCAACAAACAAAAGGAAACAAAAAGGCTTCCAGCTTTCATCTTAAATTACCAGGAACCTGTTGGGGAAAGACAAAAAAAAAAAAAAAAAAAAGTTACTGAGAAGAATTAGAGAAGTAAAGACATCATTGAAATTTTCACAATCCTGGGGATGAGGAGAGAGGATATAAAAAGGATTTTTAAAAATATTTGTAGGTTAGAGGAAAAAAATAGTTGGCTTCTGATACAATAAAGCCCATACTAACCTGTATTTCTGTCAGAGCATCAGACAAAGAACATTTCATGCCAATTATAGACTGCACAGAATTCTAGACTAACTAGAATTTCAGGCGCAACGAAGGTTATTTGAGACAAGTCTCACTAACCACTTTTTAAAAACAAACAAACAAAAACTATGTTACACTAACATGGTACAGCTGGTACTTTATTTAACACTTGTTTTCTAAGGATTACACAAATCTTTATGTATTTCACTGAAGTGAAATATCACTGCTCGTATATGACAATTGAACTTTCCAGCACAGCTTGTTTATGGTCTGATAGTCCTGTAACTGTTGTAAATAAATTCAGGTGACCAATTAACACATACACATGTTGCTGTACTGGAAATATACTGCTGCTTTCCAAAGAGAAGGGAAAAGATCAGTTCACTTTGTTCCTGATGCTCTAGACTTTTCACATCTCTTCCCCTTCCTGTGCTGCACAACAGTCATAATTTCAAATATTATGAAGAGAGTCCRAACAAGTGAGTAAGTGGGAATGGAGAGAGCTACTCCTCATTAGCTAACTAACAATGGAGAAAACACAACTTTCATCCATTACTGGTGAAGAAAACACCCTGTTGAAGCAGGTGCTTGTTGAGAAGAGCAAATCACAGTCCTGTTTCTCGTATTATAACGTACAGAGCTACTCTGCATGAACTTCAGCCTCACAAATCAAAGGAAAAAATACCGTCTGCTTCAAAGCCAATAATTTCACACCAAGRGAGGAATTGTTTCGGGGCCAGCCCGCGACTGCCTCACTTTAGCTCTTGTTAGAAGCAGGGGTCTTGTTCTCGCCTTCGAGTTCTTCCACTCCTGCCTGGGTCATGAGGTCCGCGATGTTTTTCTCCAGGTCATCTATGCGACAGCTCATGTCGTCAAGTTAGCTGAAATTAAGGAATAAAACTGCAAGCGAGTGAATTTTGCTTTTTGGTTATGGCTTTTGCTCAAGCTCTCATGATTATTTTCAATTTGCCTTATAACCCCCCCCCACACATCAAATAAACAAGTTACCTACAAATATCTGTGCAGCCATATTGCAGATATCTGACGTATAAAGTAATAAAAGGATATTTCTTCCAATGATTTGGTCAGACATGGTCTGAAATTTGTCCTGCATTTGTTGAAGCAGTGTCTGCACCTGGTAGAAAGAAAGAAAATAGTTTGCTTTGCTTACACTAGGTAAGTTATTACGCTACTAATGCATATTTGAGCAGGGTAACAAAGTCAGCATAAAGTTCTGTTTCTCTGCGAAAACCCCGCAGTATTTTCCCCAAATCAGCTGTTAAAAGGCAGGGGGGGAAGGGAGTTTCCCGGTAAACAGATGGAGGCTCCAGGAAACGCCCGCGCGCCCCGGGCAGAGGGAAGCCGAGGCCGCCGGGGGGCGCAGGGCGGGTCCCGCCCCGCCGGCCCGCGCTCACCACGGCGGTGAGATCCTGCACCGTCTTGGGGTCGGTCTCGGCCATGGCGTCCGGGGCGGCGGCAACGGCTGCGGCTCCTGGGGCGCTCCCGGGCCCCGCTCCCGTCTCCACAGCAGGCCGCTTCCGCCGCGAGCTCTCGCGAGRCGACGCCTCCCCGCGGCATTCTGGGAGATGTAGTCCCGGCCGCCCGGAAGCGCGCGCTGCGCAGCGGGAGCGTTAACGGCCGTTAACGACCGTTGGCTCCCGGGCATCGGGGGCGTTAACGGTCGTTAGGTGCCAGATGTTACAGCGACACGCGGTGCCTGGCGGGGGTCTGTGCCCCGGGCGAAATATTCTGCGTGCTGCCATTTGAAAAATGTGGGATGTGGAATCTCTTGTAGGAGATTTTTGCCTCAAAAATGGGGTGTCAGGTGGCACCTTTGCCCTCTTTATCGTTTAATTTAAAAGACGAACATAAAGGAGCGGTTCGGGCTGCCTTGTGAGCCCTTACGGGTGGTCTCCTTACGGCAGGAGTGAGAGTTTTGTGGATTAGCAGCCAAAGCCTCGGGCGTTACCCATATTAGYTAATGGTGAAAATAAATATTGTGCCAATATCTCCGTGAGAGAAAGAGCGAAGCTGCAGGCGGCAGCTCAATTCCCCTCTGCCCCAGGTTAATGAAACAGCGCAGAGCATCGCAGAGGTGGCTGCAGGTTAGAATCCAAAAGGGACGTGTATATAAATATATATATTTTTGCCTAGCCTTGCACGTGTGCAGCTTTCCATAGAGAAGGGAAAGGTCTGGTTACCCCGAGGGAAGCTCTAAGGCCAAGTCATTGACACACGGCGTAGGAGAGTGTCCCTGTGCGCAGGGTTGGGGTCCAGGCGGCCCTTGCTGCCCCGCTGCTGATGGGCTCTGCGGTTCCGCCCGCAGTAACGGGTCTCCCGCTAGCAGAGAACAACTTAGAGCCATGGGGAGGAGAACTGTTCAGTGCCCTTCTGGGGAAACGCGGTTATCTGCGGGAAAGCAAACAGAGTTCCTAGCGCTGAGAAGCGCTGCCTCTTGGAGCACTGCAGTGATAATACGAGAGCTATCTAGTGGCGCTTTGGGGAAATATTTTGCCTATTGAAAAGTAAATACAGCTTCGAGTTTTGCGAAAAGCCGAGAAATTAACTGCCGTTTCTTTGTTTGATGTGTTTACAAATAGTGGCTGCTTTATTTATTTATTTATTTTTAACTTGAAGCACATAAACCATCACTTCAAAAAGGTCCTTACATCTGGTCTCCAAGCACACCTCCAGGGATCTAGTTACCTTGCAGCTCCTTAGGTAGTCTGGAAAAGGAGGGCAACTCTCTGAAAATKAGCTTTATTCTTTAAGGATAAAACTTTTTCAGTATTCATTTGCTTCCTGGTGTAGTTAAACTTAAAATTTAGGGGGTATATGTGTGTGGGGGGGGGCGGTGGGAGGGGGTTCCTTTTTATTTTTTTTTTTTTTTTAAGACCAGACTGAGTATATTCTGTGCTAGGATTAATGATTCTTCACAGTAGCTGTCAGAGTTTACTGAAATGAATGGAGCTTTAGGAGGCTGAATTCTCTTGCTAGCCTCGTAATGACAAAGTTTTAATTTGAAGTGCACAGTGAAGGACTTTTCGAATTTACAAAGAGGCTATTACATTTCTTAAAATCAAGGGAATTTACGAAGATCGATTTAAAAACTTTTAATGAATTCATTGAAAATGCAGGGAAATGTAATTCCTCAAACAGTTGTGATCTTACATTTGCATCTGTTTAAAATGCACCTCTTCCAGAGGATGATGTTCCGATAGAACCCTCCTCTGTTAGCTTGGTGCTAATAATTCASAAACGATTATATTACTATGTTTGTGTGTCCTAAAAAGCAATGAGTAGCAACTATCCTTTAATTGCTTTGACTATCAGATCTTCTTTTGGTTCCCCAGTGACTAGCAGGGGCTCTGAATGTTATTTATGCAATGATGGTCCACCCAGACGGAGTGTGCCCAGTGTGTGGAGCTCGAGGTACCGTCTCAGTACTGAAAAACATAAATACATTTTTTTTTGTACACAATCCAAAGAACTACAATAAAAACTTGAGAATTAAATTTTAATATCTCAATCACAGCCTGAGTGGCTCACGGCAGAAATTCTAGAGAAAATATAAAAATGTAGAAAACGGAGCACATTTATTACTTGCAGAGGAAGAACACTCCTCAGAGACTGTCAAATATATATGGGGTTAGGACTTATTAAACAAAGAACTGTGCTTAGAAAACRGCTACCAAAGGAAAAGTAAATGATGAATATTATGAATCATGTGAATAATACTTAACTGGATATATAAAAAATTATGGGAACAGCAAAGTCAGTACTAGAATAAATAGGAAGGTGATTTGCAGCAAAACAGGGATAATTCAGTGTGTTTTTTTCAAGATTATCTTTCAGAAACTAAAACAAATGGCTTTTGCGTGAATCCCTGTCTTACATTAAGCTTCCTGTTACATAACAAAATGATCTTTATTGTAGTTTTTCCCTTCTGGTAATTTCTCCTGTGTTTTGCTTTTTTCAGTCTTTCAGTCATCTGGTGTCAGAACTGATGGAGGAGACCTGCCCTGGGCACCCCAAATCTTATGGGCCAGAAAAAGAAGGAGAGAAAAAGATAAGAAAGAATGCTTAAGAGCAAGCAGATTTCATTCCAGGAGGTAGGACCAGGAGAGGGTGAGCGAGGTAACATGTGGAGAGATGAGACATATTGTCATATTTCACAGTTTGCCCTTGCTGTGGCTCATACCTCCCCTCCCTTCACTTTCCTCTTGCACAAGACACCCACAATAACAGATACTGATTTCTCTGGGAAGGATCACAGGGTTTGACCTCAGAGGAAGGGAGTCACCTTTGTGGATGCCCACGACTCTACAGTTAAAGATTAATGCGTTTGCAGTGTGGACGATGCACCAAAACGATGTATTTTCTTCTTACATACATTGACGTTTTATGACCTACAAGTGCTTAAAAAGCTTTGTTTTTGGAAACTTGAAGTCCATTTTCTCTTTTAATTATAAGCACTCCAGAGGACATCTCATTAAGGCTCCAGAAAGGAGTAAGCTTGTCACAGACATGAGGAATAATTTTATAGTGCTAATTAAATGTGATCAGATTTTTCAATCACATAATTAGTAGGAATGTTGGCTGAAAGTTCCTATTACAAAGGGAGTGTTGCCGGGCAGAAAGAAGAGAGTTCTTAGCGGAAACTCAGTTTCTTCTCCAGACTGCAACGTGAATATATATTCTTCTCAATGCAATGTGGATATATCTGCTTCAGTATACACCATTCCTTAAAAGTTCTCAACCTTGGAAATAGTGTTTGCAGGCTCCTAGTTCTCCACATAATTGTCCATGTTGCAGAAGAAGAGGTTTTAAGGATAAGCAATAAAAAAGAATTCCTCCATTTTTACCATCGTTCTCTTAATTTGGGACCATGCTATTAGCAATTCATCATGATGCATAAGTAACAAATACTATTCTATGCCTCAAATCTGGGCAGCTGGTTCTCCAGATTTTGTACAGAACTGTTTTACAACCTGTTTGCTTGGCATACAGCATTTCCCTGCTAAATTATTCACTTTCTTCTGTGGCCAAGAGAGTGGATGCTTGTGACATGTCAAATGAAATTCAATCACTACCTACGATGTAAACAAACTCTCAAGATTGACTCTACCAGCAATGGAGCTTTTGCTAATGTGATCCTCTTCTCTCAGAATATCATTACCACTCCAAAGGGAGGCCTTGATAAAGTGAGGGCAAGATCCTCCTCATTAAATGGCATTGCACTCTTTATCCTTAGGGCAGTTTAGATCCATTTGGAGTGAGGATGAATTTTGCACTGCCTATGCAAAAGAATCAGAAAAGCAAAAACCAATTTGCTCATGAGAATTCACACGGAAGTGAAAGGGATCTCTTGAGTAATCCTGGTGGGATTCAGGGCTCACCGTGATCCCTTTCAAGAGACAATGGGCAAAAGGACATAACACATTTGCAAACAGAAACTTTCATTTTTTGGCAGTAAATTATGCCTTSACTGGGAAATACTCTCACAGGCTTTGGAGTCTGACTTTGAGTTTTTGAGTCCTTATGCTGTGGATCCTAGCCAAGCCCGTTGCCTCTGTGTGGGAAGCACTTATTTTTCAGTCAGACTGAAAGCAGGCGCCCCTCGTTGCCATGCACGAGTCAGAGCTGTGGGTACCAGACCGTTCGCAGCCTTTCAGGATGAATGTCCTTTTCAAGCGTGGCTACCAGAACAGTCTTCCAGTCTCAGCCTTAGCTGTGCTACAAAATAGCTTTCTTACTCCCACTTGTCACACATACATATATCTAAAGATCCTGCTAGCATATTATGCTAGCACACCTCATCAATTTTTATTTTTGCTTTAAATTATGACAAGGCTATTGTGCTCTTTTTCATTCTAATGCAAGACAGCCAGATGATGCAAATTTAACAGCAAATCTTTCCTAACATTAGACTTATGTATCTGCTGGGATAAATAGGACTCACAGAAATCATCAGAGGGACAGTAATTAGCATGTGGCTCTGAAGCAAAATGTCCACTGCTCCAAATTCCTTCTCTGCTTCTGTTTCAAGGAAGCATTCCCTCTAGAAAGCTGTGTTTTTGTTGCTATTCGGTCCATTGTTATACCYGCTACACATGAATATGCTGTAAAGCTGTTTCCTTTTCTGATATAATGAAGAACAAGTTTTAACAACTCCTTGATCTATTTTCCCCTTATATTGCTAATATTGATGAGAAATAATTCTTTCTTTATGTTGTCATAACATATACAAGGATGTTAGGAGCGTTTGCTAAATGAGAGTTACACTTCTCTGCTTATGGGAAAACAGAGCTGCTCTTTAATCCCAAAGCACTGCCTGTTTCTAGACAGGACTGATAGTAGATAATTAATTTTGGTCTTCTACTGAAGACAGTTCTTAGATGCAATGTTTATTCCTGTTTGATGTTCACCAGCAAGTACTTATAGACTGTACAATATTAGACTGGAAGTGTGCACAGGACTACTGTYAGAATAGCATGTA